GTGATAATGACCTTCACACTAGTGATAATAACTCCAGAACAGTGACTGACCTTTACATGACCTTTACACCAGTGATAATAACTCCAGAACAGTGACTGACCTTTATACAGGTGAAAATTATCTAAACCCAGTACCTGACCTTCTATAGTGCTAGTGGTGTAATTTGTTAAAACAAACAGGTGCCTACACATTATTTTACCAAGTTAGTTTATGTTTATTCTGTTTGATGCAATTTTCTGTGCTTGACTGTGCCTACACATAATTAATAGTCCAGCATAGTTATTCGCTAGATAGAACCTTTAACCATGTAATAGATACTACACTGTATTAATAATCAACAATCACTAAGGTTACATTTTGTGCATAACTTTCCACCAATTTGTGCAATATTTCTATAACAATAAATATATAGAATAATATATACATATGTCCAAGTTTCTATCTCTAGCTTTGGAGAGAAGTTAGAAGCTTACCAACACAGACAAGACGAAAACAAACTACTGTCAATGCTATCATCATATAAACATATAAAAGTTTCCACTGTTCACATGTGTACATAGTACTGTAGTACAGGGATTGCATTGGTTACATTCACAAAGTTAAATAAATATAAAAGTCAATTTTTCAGAAAGTATTTGTATATTGTTACACAATGGTCTGATTTAAAATAGTACACTACCTTTATACTATACACACATTCTGTCATACTGTAGACATTTTTTGGAGAATAAGTTTTTGGCCTGAAATATTGAAAAGAAAAGCAATACTTAAAACCACTGCGTCAAATTTATCTAAGAACACTGTATGACTTTTCTGCATTTTTTGTACATTTGTTTTTCCAAGTATGTATACAAATTCAAACTAATTCCACAATGGCTATCAGAAGGCAACATCTACTTTTCAATTTGATTAGAAAAAAAATGCGCTCACAAAGTTTGTGAAACTAAATTTCTTACAAGAATGCATTAACTCTACCTGTTACAGTATTTTTGGATCAAATTAAGCATGTACCATAACAGAACTAACAGCTTAAGAAGTAACACTTCTTGTGCTCCAGATATCGAGCACTTTTAAATACAAAACATACATTGTCAGAAAATTGTTCTTACACATATATTTACAGTGTTGCTATATTTAATATAGGTCAACACCACAAAAAGAGTATTTAATTAAATTAAAAAATATATAACACACTGCAGAATGTATGGATAGTCGTACAAGTGTCATTCAAATCACAATAATTATGTCACCATCACATTAACTTAAGAACAAGCACTCTGTAGTCTGTCTTACAGAACATGTACACTTGATGCTCCAAAGTCGGTTTCCTTCACCACTTACATAATTCATTGAGTATTAAAAGAAAATCAATTAAAACAGGCATGAAATACCTCACCCTCTACTATTTCACTGGAAATACTGGAAATGTCATATCTAATAAAAAAATCTCTACCTGAAAATGTTATCTCTCAAAAAATAAATCCACTGTAGTAGATCATTATAACCATTTTACTTGTCATGTCATCTCTAATAAAGAAATCTCGACTGAAAAAGTCATTTCTAATAAATCTATAAAAGAAACACGTCATCTCTAATAAAGAAATCTCGACCGAAAAAGTCATTTCTAATAAATCTATGAAAGAAACATGTCATCTCTAATAAAGAAATCTCTACAGAAAAAGTCATTTCTAATAAATCTATAAAGGAAACATGTCATCTCTAATAGAGAAATCTCTATTGGAAATGTAACCTCCAACTATAAATGATCTACTAACGTTGTTTTAAACAAGGAAATCAAATTCTGCTAAATACAGATATCTTTGGATGTTTCATTGTTTGGTGATCAAATTGATTCTCTGAGACACATTTTGTCACAATTTCCTTTGATAAAATTTACATATCACAAAATTCTTTACACAAAAGAATAAATCTTGAAAGCACAACACACACAAAATCTATGTGGTACAAGACATTGAGAAGAAACTTATTGTTGTACCATCTCAGATACCTTAATTGAGGTATGTCAATTATTTGTAGCCAACCTGTAATACTGCCATGTCTTTTAACCAGGTCTTAATTACAGCAGTCACTGACTTCAAAGGTTGTCCAACTTTTGGGGATAGAAATTCAGGATAATCCCATTAAGACTGATATATATCATTTAAGATTTTGCATCACATTCGTATCAAAATAAATAAGTATTTAAATGACTTCAGAATGATATACAAATCATTTTTCTTAAATCACTTAAAGTACCCAGGTGAAATTATTTTTATTGTCCCTGACTATCTGAATGATAAAACAAAGAAATGTTTGATTCAATCTTGTTCAATTCTAAAGACCATCACAACAAAAAAGGCTGGTACCTACAAAGTGTGGAGTCTTGTGTGTACATTCAATTACTTCTAGATGATAGGCGATATCAATAACTAGTATCCATATCAAAAACCCTTTAAATTACTACTGAATAATTATTGACATATTAAAAACATACCCTCAATGAAAACGATAAAATAATGTCTTAACAGGAATTACATTAAAATTCTACAATGGAACTGTGATGAACTTCACTAATTTATAAATAGATCACAACCTGGGGGAGTTATCCCCATCTGTCAGAAAACTTCACCGACTCGCATCACTCCATAAAACACTTAGTATATATACATCAGTATACCAATGTTATCAGTATATACATCAGTATACCAATGTTATCAGTATATACATCAGTATACCAATGTTATCAGTATATACATCAGTATACCAATGTTATCAGTATATACATCAGTATACCAATGTTATCAGTATATACATCAGTATACCAATGTTATCAGTATATACATCAGTATACCAATGTTATCAGTATATACATCAGTATACCAATGTTATCAGTATATACATCAGTATACCAATGTTATCAGTATATACATCAGTATACCAATGTTATCAGTATATACATCAGTATACCAATGTTATCAGTATATACATCAGTATACCAATGTTATCAGTATATACATCAGTATACCAATGTTATCAGTATATACATCAGTATACCAATGTTATCAGTATATACATCAGTATACCAATGTTATCAATGTGATGACTGGTTACTGTATAGCAGGTCATTTTCACTAGGTTCAATTCCAAGATTTTCTCTAAAAATCATCCAATAATAAGATTATCATCATTAAAATTTCGCTGATGAAGAATATGACAAGAGTTTAATGTTTAAACTTTTACCTCATTTGCACCAATTGAACAATATGACCAGCATTTTTACCTAGCTATCGCACATCAGCAAGACACAACACTGGATTTAAGAAAGACTGAGTGATGTTTTTTCACTGAAAATTTGTAATTGTTATAATAGTACTCGGTTAAAATTTCACAATCAGGTCTATGGTATACATTGTATTACCAACATTCTCATGTTGTCTAAATAATGAAAAGATGTAGACATCTTACAATTATTTATGCAAATTATAGTTATAAAAATAAATTGATGAGAAAATGTGTGCGTTCATGTATAATGGGTTATAAAAATGAAAAAATGAAAAAACAATAAAAAAAAATAAGTCTGATAGCTTTTGAACACATTAGCTTAGATCAGATGGATTCTTTTGTGTGTTTGGGAAGTAAAAGCATGGCTTTATTTCTTCATACAGAGGATTTATGAATGTGATTTGATTACGATGATGAACACAAAGATATATTGATTGCATTTAAACGAAACCCTGGATTGTCCTGGTGACGTTAAGTAGATTATCTATGACCTAAAGAAACAAAAATATATTCGACATTATAGAATTCTTGGAATGTCATGCAATGTATAATCAGGTACATTTCACAGAGACACCTGGAAAATGTTTTAGACTTGAGTCAGAGGAACACTATGATTGTAACAGAACACCTGGGGAGGGTCTCGTTTTGTTTAAGTGATACACTTAAAGTATTGCATTCTTTGTAAAATGTTGGATGTAATAAAAAATGTTCAGGGAGCGTGCCTAGTTAGCAGTAAGTTGTGAGAACTAGTGCATAATCCCTTTGATTGATATTGATCAATAAAATATGTTTGAATGAATAAAAATGTATTAATTAATATTCAACTATAAACAAATAATTAGACCTAGAGAAATTTTGAAGGCAATAACTTGAACTAGGTAGGTATTAGCCATTTTCTCTCAATAACGTATATACTGCAGGTCAACACACAGACCTAGAACTTGACAGATGATTCATAAAGACCATGCACCATTTTTAATACAGATCCGTAAATTGCCCTTCCCCAACCGGAATTAAAATCAGAAAGGAAGAAACAGCGACACAAACAATTCTGAATCACCATACTAGAAAATTGTTCTTGTGAACAAAAACATGATACCAGTAAACCCTACAATGGAGTTTTCAAGGAGTCGGATGGACCACAGACTTAGATAACACTAATTCCATGGATGGACAAAGAGTGTGGGATTGACCGATATCAGTATACCCCCAAAAACTTTGTGGTGGGGGTATGATAAATTGAATCCTAAAAAATAATTGGCCAAATTATGACATTCAACACCGCAATCTACTAGTAACCAAGATCTAACCAAGGGGACAGATTCTGTATCACACAGTCATTAAAATATAGAAAGTATTTGGCTGTGTACATGTCAGATTAAGTTTCCTACCATACAACTTCATACAATTAGATCCTCTAGAACCTATCTTATTGCCGGTAAAATACGGTATTACATAAATCATTTTATCACATAATGTACTGTGTTATCCAGTGAATATACCAATGTAATATTTCTTTGCGTATTAACCCCTGTAATATGACCTATCAGCCCTGTGATTGGTTGTAAGTTTAAATTATTTCAATTGTGACGTCACGCCTAGGACAAGTACATGATGTCACAAACTTACGCATTGGAGTCAAAATGGTGTCTTTTTTACATTTTAAAGTTGCATGAAAATTGCCGTTTCACACGAATAAATGCCACAAATCTTGATTATGTGATAAATAGGATCTTACACTCGTTTTCATTTTATATGGAATTTATGAAACTTGTCACAAATTTTTCATTTTAGGTCGCCAGAGGCTTGCTAAATTGAAAAGTTCTTAGAATTTTGCAATTGAAATTTATTTTAACAGAACATTTTCTATTAAGTTTTTAAAATCACAAACCTCTTTAAGAAAACAGTTAAAAAATGATAAAATATAGTATCTATTATATCTATGAATACACATTTCAGAAAATTAACTGTGTGCTGTAAAACACTTCTCGATGGAGAAACTGAAGTGTAATATTTTCCCTGACAACTTAACGTTGTGTAAGATTCATTTACATTTCGTGAGAGAAATTTCTTTTTTCAACACAATACTGACTGTACGTAACAGTCCCTAGTAGGATTGATAACAGTGGTAACATCAGTCTGCTGTCACGGAATCATTGCAATAAACACAACAAACCCCATGAACAGCGTGAACAGGATTAAAGGTGTGAAGAAACTCCAAACGGGCCACAGGCCCACCGTCACACTGAAACATTCAATACATTGTGTTACACACTGGTAAATGCAACGTAATGAAGACTTATATCTGACTTTCAATCAATTGTAATATTGATGAAAAACTTGCATGTCAATGTAGATTTACATATATCCATACATTGGCTATAGTTAATCAAGTTTCTAAATTACCTTTCATAATTTAGATAATTTGGTGTCCATCCATTATCTAAGACAGAAATAAAGAAAAATGACGAAAGTACAGTTAACTTGAGTTAAGCTATTGTTGCTATGGAAACGAGAGTTGGATTTGTATTAAATGCCACCCATTATGTATATTATAAATGCACATGATGCTATGGAAATGAGATGGTGAGACATTTACAACATACCAATCATTATAAATGTATTTGTTGCTAGGGAATATGAAGGATGAGATCCTTACCACATGCCACCCATTATAAATGTCTTTATTTCTATGGGAATATGAAGGACGAGATACTTACCACATGCCATCCATTATAAATGTCTTTATTTCTATGGGAATATGAAGGAGGAGATACTTACCACATGCCACCCATTATACATGTCTTTATTTCTATGGGAATATGAAGGACGAGATACTTACCACATGCCATCCATTATAAATGTCTTTATTTCTATGGCAATATGAAGGAGGAGATACTTACCACATGCCACCCATTATAATTGTCTTTATTTCTATGGGAATATGAAGGACTAGATACTTACCACATGCCATCCATTATAAATGTCTTTATTTCTATGGCAATATGAAGGAGGAGATACTTACCACATGCCACCCATTATAAATGACTTTATTGCTATGTGAATATGAAGGACGAGATACTTACCTCATGCCACCCATTATAATTGTCTTTTTGTTGCTATGTGAATATGAAGGACGAGATACTTACCTCATGCCACCCATTATAATTGTCTTTTTGTTGCTATGTGAATATGAAGGACGAGATACTTACCTCATGCCACCCATTATAATTGTCTTTTTGTTGCTATGTGAAAATGAAGGACGAGATACTTACCACATGCCATACATTATAAATGTCTTTATTTATATGGGAATATGAAGGACGAGATACTTACCCCATGCCACCCATTATAAATGTCTTTATTTCTATGGGAATATGAAGGAGGAGATACTTACCACATGCCACCCATTATACATGTCTTTATTGCTATTGGAATATGAAGGATGAGATACTTACCACATGCCGCCCATTATAACTGTCTTTGTTGCTATTGGAATATGAAGGATGAGATCCTTACCACATGCCACCCATTATACATGTCTTTGTTGCTATGTGAATATGAAGGATGATATCCTTACCACATGCCACCCATTATAAATGACTTTATTGCTATGTGAATATGAAGGACGAGATACTTACCTCATGCCACCCATTATAATTGTCTTTTTGTTGCTATGTGAAAATGAAGGACGAGATACTTACCACATGCCAACCATTATAAATGTCTATATTGCTATGGGAATATGAAGGCCGAGATACTTACCACATGCCACCCATTATAACTCTCTTTATTTCTATGGGAATATGAAGGACGAGATACTTACCACATGCCGCCCATTATAAATGTCTTTGTTGCTATTGGAATATGAAGGATGAGATACTTACCACATGCCGCCCATTATAAATGACTTTGTTGCTATTGGAATATGAAGGACGAGATACTTACCACATGCCACACATTATAAATGTCTATATTGCTATGGGAATATGAAGGACGAGATGCTTACCACATGCCACCCATTATAAATGTCTATATTGCTATGGGAATATGAAGGCCGAGATACTTACCACATGCCATCCATTATACATGTCTTTATTTCTATGGGAATATGAAGGAGGAGATACTTACCACATGCCACCCATTATACATGTCTTTATTTCTATGGGAATATGAAGGCCGAGATACTTACCACATGCCATCCATTATACATGTCTTTATTTCTATGGGAATATGAAGGATGAGATACCTACCACATGCTTCCCATTAATATAAATGTCTTTGTTGCTATGGGAATATGAGGGATGATTTTGTTGCTAGGGAATATGAAGGACGAGGTACTTACCACATGCCACCCATTATAAATGACTTTATTGCTATGTGAATATGAAGGACGAGATACTTACCACATGCGACCCACTATAAATGTCTATATTGCTATGGGAATATGAAGGCCGAGATACTTACCACATGCCATCCATTATACATGTCTTTATTTCTATGGGAATATGAAGGATGAGATACCTGCCACATGCTTCGCATTAATATAAATGTCTTTGTTGCTATGGGAATATGAAGGACAAGATACTTATCACATGCCACCCATTCTACATGTCTTTGTTGCTATGGGAATATGAAGGACGAGATACTTGCGACATGCCACCCATTATAAATGTCTTTATTGCTATTGGAATATGAAGGATGAGATACTTACCACATACCACCCATTATAAATGTCTTTGTTGCTATTGGAATATGAAGGACGCGATACTTACCACATGACACCCATTATAAATGACTTTATTGCTATGTGAATATGAAGGACGAGATACTTACCTCATGCCACCCATTATAATTGTCTTTTTGTTGCTATGTGAATATGAAGGACGAGATACTTACCTCATGCCACCCATTATAATTGTCTTTTTGTTGCTATGTGAAAATGAAGGACGAGATACTTACCACATGCCAGCCATTATAAATGTCTATATTGCTATGGGAATATGAAGGACGAGATGCTTACCACATGCCACCCATTATAAATGTCTTTTTGTTGCTATGGGAATATGAAGGACGAGATACTTACCCCATGCCACCCATTATAAATGTCTTTATTTCTATGGGAATATGAAGGCCGAGATACTTACCACATGCCATCCATTATACATGTCTTTATTTCTATGGGAATATGAAGGCCGAGATACTTACCACATGCCACCCATTATAAATGTCTATATTGCTATGGGAATATGAAGGCCGAGATACTTACCACATGCCACCCATTATACATGTCTTTATTTCTATGGGAATATGAAGGCCGAGATACTTACCACATGCCACCCATTATAAATGTTTTTATTTCTATGAGAATATGAAGGACGAGATACTTACCACATGCGACCCACTATAAATGTCTATATTGCTATGGGAATATGAAGGACGAGATACTTGCGACATGCCACCCATTATAAATGTCTTTATTTCTATGGGAATATGAAGGACGAGATGAATATGAAGGATGAGATCCTTACCACATGCCACCCATTATACATGTCTTTATTTCTATGGGAATATGAAGGATGAGATACCTACCACATGCTTCCCATTAATATAAATGTCTTTGTTGCTATGGGAATATGAAGGATGATTTTGTTGCTAGGGAATATGAAGGACGAGATACTTACCACATGCCACCCATTATAAATGTCTTTGTTGCTATGGGAATATGAAGGACACGATACTTATCACATGCCACCCATTCTACATGTCTTTGTTGCTATGGGAATATGAAGGACACGATACCTACCACATGCCAGCCATTATAAATGTCTTTGTTGCTATGGGAATATGAAGGACACGATACTTACCACATGCCACCCATTATAAATGTCTTTATTTCTATAAGAATATGAAGGACACGATACTTACCACATGCCACCCATTATAAATGTCTTTATTGCTATGGGAATATGAAGGATGAGATACTTACCACATGCCACCCATTATAAATGTCTTTATTTCTATGGGAATATGAAGGATGAGATACTTACCACATGCCACCCATTATACATGTTTTTATTACTATGAGAATATGAAGGACGAGATACTTACCACATGCCACCCATTATACATGTTTTTATTTCTATGGAAATATGAAGGATGAGATACTTACCACATGCCACCCATTATAAATGGCTTTATTGCTATTGGAATATGAAGGACGAGATACTTACCACATGCCACCCATCATAAATGTCTTTGTTGCTATGGGAATATGAAGGACGAGATACTTACCACATGCCACCCATTGTAAATGACTTTATGGCTATGTGAATATGAAGGACGGGATACTTACCACATGCTTCCCATGATACATGTCTTTATTGCTATGGGAATATGAAGGATTAGATACTTACCACATGCCACCCATCATAAATGTCTTTGTTGCTATGGGAATATGAAGGATGAGATACCTACCACATGCCACCCATTATAAATGTCTTTATTGCTATGGGAATATGAAGGATTAGATACTTACCACATGCCACCCATCATAAATGTCTTTGTTGCTATGGGAATATGAAGGATGAGATACTTACCACATGCCACCCATTATAATTGTCTTTATTTCTATGGGAATATGAAGGACGAGATACCTACCACATGCCACCCATTATAAATGTCTTTGTTGCTATGGGAATATGAAGGACGAGATACTTACCACATGCCACCCATTATAAATGTATTTGTTGCTATGGGAATATGAAGGACGAGATACTTACCACAAGCCACCCATTATAAATGTCTTTATTTCTATGGGAATATGAAGGATGAGATACTTACCACATGCCACCCATTATAATTGTCTTTATTTCTATGGGAATATGAAGGACGAGATATTTACCACATGCCATCCATTATAAATGTCTTTATTGCTATGGGAATATGAAGGAGGAGATACTTACCACATGCTTCCCATGACAAATGTCTTTATTGCTATGGGAATATGAAGGATGAGATACTTACCACATGCCGCCCATGATAAATGCCCCTGTTGCTATAGGAATGAGAGTCGGATAGAGTTTCTCCCAGTCATCCACATCAATCTTCTTTATAGCAGACAGCCAGACAATGAAGAACATTGCTATGCACACATTTATCACAATAAGGATAGCACCAATATTGAACCAATTTCTGCAAGAAAATATTAAATCAGATAATAAAACATTTAATTTATTACGGTATTTTTCTTGAATTAAGAAATAAATGAACACTTTTTTCCCTACACTTGATTTGAACAAACTTGAAGGAAGGATACAAGAAATTCTTTCAAAAAAAAAAAAAAGTTGATTTAACACAAAGCATGGGCTTCATGGATACCCCTGCTCCTTGTATATATATATAAAATGTTGGAAACCTATTCATGAAACAAGAGGTCCATTGGACCTGTATTGCTCACCTGGTTTTATATATAAGTCATTACAACTGAATGCATTATATTAGTACTATTCCTAAAAACCAGACAAGATCTATGTTCTAATCCAACTGGGACCACAAGAAGTTGCATTGATAAAGAGCAATAGTATTCATACGCCTGTAAAGTTATTGTGTTTACACCCAGGCTACGTCCTAGTCGCCATCTTACCTTGCAGGAAAATAGTTAAACACATGCGCAGATTTGAAACGGAATAAGATTTCAAAACGAGATTCACACAAAAAATCCACCTATATACAAAAAAATGTTCCGTTATGACTTCTGGTACAAACCTAGCCTCGTGGTAATATGCCAACCCTATGACCACAGTATCCCGGGTTCAAATCCTGCCTAACCTGTTTTTTTTTTTGTTTTTTTTTCAAATTGTGCAATGGGTTTGTATTTTTGCATTCATTGCAACTGTTAAACAGCAACAAAGGCAATTTTTTTATTTTACTTTAATTTTCATTCAACTATAAAATATTATAAACCTAGAAACCATTTTTTTTTAATTTATGAAAACTACACCATAGAATATGATAATCTAGCTGTACCATTTCTTAGGACCGCAGGGGTCAAATCAACCTAATTCAATTAAGAATTGTGTTGGTTCTACCTCAATAATGTTTCTGACCAAATTTTGTACAATTGAATCAGGCGATTAGAGGATATTAGCATATTAAAGCAAAATATTAGATAATTTTTCTCTTTGGGGCCCAGCCTTCCTAGCCCCAGGGGTCGAACCAGCCTCATTTATTTAGGAAAAAATTGCCCTCCCCCAATTAAGTTTCAGATTAAATTTGGTTGAAATCCTCTCTGGTGTTTAGGAGGAGATGCGTTTTAAAGCAAATTTAGCTAAGTTCCCCTTCAGGGCCCCGCCCACCTAGCCTAGCCTCAGGGGTCGAACCAACCTCATTTATTTAGGAAATGATTGCCCTCCCCCAATGAAGTTTCAGAGCAATTTGGTTAAAATTGTCTCTGGGGTTTAGGAGGAGATGCGTTTTAAAGCAAATTTAGCTAAGTTTCCCTTCAGGGCCCTGCCCACCTAGCCTCAGGGGTCGAACCAATCTCATTTATTTAGGAAATGATTGCCCTCCCCCAATGAAGTTTCAGAGCAAATTTGGTTAAAATCGTCTCTGGGGTTTAGGAGGAGATGCGTTTTAAAACAAATTTATCGAAGTTCCCATTCAGGGCCCCACCCCCCTGCCCGCAGGGGTCGAACCAACCTCATTTATTTAAGAAATGATTGCACTCCCTTACTGATGCTTCAGACTTAATTTGGTTGAAATTTTCTCTGACGTTTAGGAGGAGATGCGTTTTAAAGCAAATTTAGCTAAGTTCCCCTTCAGGGCCTTGCCCCCTCCTGGCCTCAGGAGTTGAACCAACCTCATTTATTTAGGAAATGATTGCCCTCCCCCAATGAAGTTTCAGAGCATATTTGGTTAAAATCGTCTCTGGGGTTTAGGAGAAGATGCGTTTTAAAACAAATTTAGCTAAGTTCCCCTTCAGGGCACCGCCCCCCTGGCCTCAGGAATCGAACCAACCTCATTTATCTAGGAAATGATTGCCCGCCCCCAATGAAGTTTCAGAGCAAATTTGGTTAAAATCGTCTCTGGGGTTAAGGAAGAGAACCTCATTTATTTAAGAAATGATTGCCCTCCCCTAGTGATGCTTCAGACTGAATTTGGTTGAAAGCCTCTCTGGTGTTTAGGAGGAGATGCATTTTAAAGCAAATTAATTTAGCTAAGTTCCCCTTCAGGGCCTTGCACACCCCCCCCCCCCCCCCCCCCCTGGCCTTAGGAGTTGAACCAACCTCATTTATTTAAGAAATGATTGCCCTTCCCTACTGACGCTTCAGACTAAATCCTCTTTGGCATTTAGGAAGAGATAGGTTTTATTTCTTGATTCCAAAGGTCAAAATGAGGTCACCGTGGCCTTATTTAAGGATGGGACACAATGCCTTCTTGCGATATACCTATATACAAAATGTGATGCCCATTCATGAAACAAATTAAATTATATGCCATCAAAGCAGGGGAAAATAATCATCTACTGTAATAGTTGACATCTTACTAATATACCCCAGTATTCATAAACTTTTTTTCATACTGATAATAATGGTAAACTTCCCGTAAATATCACTACCACTTAATTATATTGTACACTGATGACAAACCAGCCAAAGGTGATGATCTCTATAGACAAAATTGGGGGCTATTGGGTCTACTGCTAATTTTGCACACTTGAAGGGATTGACCTACCTGCTGACCCTTGGGTCATATCTACAGGCGATGTAAAAGTCAGTGTAGTAGAAAATTGCTATGGCTCCAATAAACCATAACACATTCTGTAGGTTGTACTTGGACCCAGTCTTTTTCCTGTATTTCCCAAACCTTTCCTCAAACTCTTGTCGGGTCTCCTCATCAAAATGTGTGCTGAGTTTAGAGTGATCTGGAACCTCTTTTTCACTGTCAGGTACTAATGCATCTGGCAATGTTAAAAAAAATGATATAGAACTCAGAAACTGATAGCTTATTAAATAAAATAGAGGGGTAAGGGTTTTTAAAGAACCTAATTTATTTAGTAATCATATGTACAGTATGACGTTATCTGACCAGATTGTTTCGGTAAGTGTCTGGGTTTGTGTCAACAACATGCATGTTCAACGTGTTTTAATGTTCATTTTAAATGCATGTTAGAAGTAACATTCCGAAAGGGAGATAACCTTGGAAGAGTTTTTCCATTGATTATAGCCCTTGAATTACCAAAACTTTCCTTTAATTCTTTACCCATGAACAGATGTTGCCTGCAGTAACAAACTAATTTCTGACCAGGAATCTGAGCACTAGTAGTAAACGACTTTCCGCTTAGACAGGTTGAGAGTGCAACAACATATACTGTATTATTCAAAACATGGAAAGAGGTTGAAGGATTTAGATTGCCCTACAGTACACTGAGAAGATCACTAAACAATGCGAGAGGATGAAAGACATGAACATACACATGTACATACTTGTGTTTTATACACATGTACATACTTGTGTTTTATACACATGTACATACTTGAGAACAAAATTTCTGATCTGGGAAATGTAAAAAACACAGATAATAAGCCAAGCTGACCATAGCTTTGGTTTGTTTGTGTTTTACGTCCTATTATTTAAACAGCTATGGTCATTTAAGGACAAGCCAGGTTTTGGTGGTGGAGGAAAGCCGGAGTTCCTGTAGAAAAACCACCCGACGGCCAGTACCTGGCGACTGCCCCACATAGGTCTCGAACCCGTGACCCAGCGGTGGACGGCTAGTGGTAGCAGAATGTCTGACCATAGCAACAATTCTTACACTCTAAACATAATATGTATGATGTGTAGTATGTAATTAAACATTTTCAAATGAACAAATGTTAACCACATTAACATGACTGATTAATCAGTAGCTGTTGTTCATGCACTATAGGATGAATTGTGGTGACCCATCATGTTGGCAGTGACAGGCAAATAAATACAGTGTCATGTAATTATATAATCTACTGATGTATGGTGGTCAATAACATTGCATTCAGCTGTTTTATGTACATAAACATAGGAATACATAACAACTGATTTAGAGTTCAGCTTTAAACTGCAGGTGGGATCGCGATATATTATTGATATCTACCATAGTTATCACACTGAACATGAGTGCCACAAAGCCATATCATTGTATAGATGAGTACATATGTACCGTATTATGTCATTTCTAAGGATGAGTGCTATCATATTGTGACTTGTTATCCTATTCAAAAGAGTTTATCTACAATAGAAAACCTGAAAAAAATATTCTAAATTTAGAATGTATTATGTAATTGATGATTAGGAGGAAGTATGGCAGTTATATGCATTGTATTTCTCTAAAGTGGGCATGCAGTTATGAAAATGAGAAAAAAATATTTAAGAGGTAACACATGTTCATCAAACCAAAACTTACTAAGCTGCTATACTGGTATATTGATGTTGAAATCTGTTTACACTATTGAGATGGCTGGAAGTGAGTAATGGTAAGATTATGTAGTGGATTTCTGCCACTAGCTCCCTTGCTTTAGACTTGGTTTATTGACAGTTTGACCAATCATTTTAAGGCTATTTTAATTTTGGAGGAGAATTAAACCAACTGGGGGCATGCCGTAAATAACTTGTAAGGAGAGCAGTACTGACTCAATGTACTGTTGACACAGTACTAGGTACCAGTGTTACCTAGTGCAGTATTACTGTAGAAACGAAATGGGGACATTAAGGACTAGGCATTAATCTATATTATCACCTCATCTTTACAACAGCAAGTCTTATTTGAGGATATTGATAATATTACGAGATAATAAAACATCATGTCTCCCTCAGGCAATTTAATTTCTATCATATTTCTGTTATTCAGAGTCATCACAAATGTGTTCCTAATGACTGCATGAAGCAGTCGAAAACAACGGTGTGTCAACCTGATTATATTTACTATTGGATTATTGTTTTCTTTAATTTCAGCATAATAAAGTATTTAGTGCCCTTGTGGTTTTCGCCCTCATGAAATACTCCACCTTGTTCATATTAATAGTTATCATATTACAATCAAACAGTCCTGTTGAGTTATTAGATCAATCTGTTTTAATGCTTATTAATGCAGATACATCCATGTGTTGGGACCAGGTCATATAAAACTTTAAGGTTGTAACTTGACAAAGTGAAGATGCATTTTCTAGCTTTGTAAGCTTACCATGCACAAAGCTGTTTAGCTTCTAAAAATCAGGTACCGAGCTGAATCCTGGATATTTTTTTTCTTAGGTAGAATATAAAGTTAAATTTTACTATAGACCTGATGCCGAATGAGAGCCTTCCCTGCAAGACCTTGGAGACACGCAATTGTTTAATTATTGATCTATCATAACTATTTATTATGTTCATTAAAATGTACATATAAAAAGCATATTTTCAGACTTCATTACATCATACTATAGAGTCGCGTATAAATATGTTATCTGATGACATCACTCCATGCTGGATCATGTCTGAGTATCAGAACAATTAAAATATCCATTTTGCATAATTAATAAAAATATGCTCAAACTACATAGAGGATGAATTAGGAAGTTTTTTTAAAACTTTTTATTCATTTAATATACAAACAGAATATTCAGACTCTTGTCATAAGCATTAAATATGGTATTTAGACACATCTTGTATGTAAAATAAGATAACATATTAAAAACTCTAAATAAATCCTTTTATCTGTGTAGTATGTATGCCCCTATATAGAAAAAATAGATAATAGACTTTACTTGATGGTATTTTTTTTATACAGCAGACTACTGTATTAAATAAATACCACATCCCAGCTCCCGTGTACTAAGTCTATCTGATAATCTGTCAATGATGTCATGTACATGTGGTTACCAGATTGAACAAATAGAATACCCGGTACTTAAACTGCAATCTAATAATCTATGTACTATACTACTGATCAGTTAGTGCTATAGACTGTGAGATATATTTTTCTAAATATAACCTCAGAAATCACGACAAACCGACAACAAATCCGTCACAATCCGATCACGAAATCATGACACGACACATCAGCGACTGACATCAACTACATATTTATGTCAATTAAACTGAGTCTAGAATCAATTTACCTGGGTCCAAAACTTCAAGGTATTTCCCTGCAATCTTGTGTTGAACTCGCCGGCGAATATTTTCCATCGCTTCTTCACTGGAAATGAGAAGTGGCTCATTCTGTGCGGATGCCATCGTTGTTGATGATTGTTTCTACCTCACTCGTGCGTTTGATTCCAAAGACAAACCGAGGAAGCACCTATCAACGCTGAGTAAAATTACTGTTTTAGGTAGGTAAAAACTCTGAAGCGAATCCACACAACTCGACTGTGTGTTACTGCAGTTAGGACCTGAGAATTTGTTACAGCTATATTTGGACCTAAACTAAGGTGTTCAGAGTAGTTTTAGGTGTTTAGATCGACTTTCGGTAAAAATGAAACCCCTAATGATCATATACCGAAAGTCGATCTAAATACGTCCCTGATCTAAACCCCTAAAACATGTAAAATTACTCTAAACACCTTAGTTTAGGCATAGGCACTTGACTGACCCTTTGTTATGTCAGATTTTTTTTGATTTTTTTTATATATGTCTACATTTTTTTTTCAAAATTATTATCTGAGAATTATCTGAATAAAAAAAAGCAATGACATTTTTTTTTATTCAGATAATTCTAAGATAATAATTTTGAAAAAAAAATGTATACTTATATGAAAAAATAAATAATCTGACATAACAAAGCTTCAAGTGCCTATGGTTTAGGTCCAAATATAGCTGTATCAAATTCTCAGGTCCCTGTGCACACACACACACATATGGATTATAGAAACTTATTCATGTATTGACAGACGTGGCTAGGGTACATTCGCGTATCCGGTTGAAACGGTTGAACCGGTTGAACCTGTAAAGAAACCGACAGGTACAGATTTGGACCGAGGCTGACCTCAGGAAAATTTGGTACGTGTAGATTGAGGGGTCCAGACGTACCTGGCCGAAACTAAACTGCTGAATATTCCTAGGTTGCGTTATTTCTTTCTAAAACAATGTCAAGTCACATGTAGTTTTTAAGATACGTTATGTAATTTAGTGGACGCGTGAGAGAAGGGCATAATATTCTTGATACATTGTTTTTTATTCTCCGAAACTGTGCATTTTTAGCTCTGCTTATAGAACGGTCCAAGTGTGTTCGTTTATCGTGGAAAATTTCTGCGCCACACGTACCGTTTCAACCGGTAACGCGAATGTAGCCCTAGTGAATGCTATGATACATTACAATGACAATAACACTTACAAACAGTTATTGCTTCTCTTTGTCAGTGGTGTGAGACCAAGGTCTATAACTTGATTTATCATATAAATATACATAAAATGTGTTTTTAAATAAATTTCAAATACACATTTACTTAAAACGGGAAAAAAATGTTTCATGCTTTTACATATTATAAATAACAGGTTAATATAACTACATTAATTGTATGGAACTATTGTTTGTCTTTTTAATCTACATGATAGATAGGGCTTTGTGTTACTCATATGTTCATGTATGCTGATTTGCGTTTATACTGCATGCTGTCATGAAAACAAGAGACTATTAACAGGGCATGTGTCGCTCACCTGTCTCAATGGTAACAGGTTGTTTCGCCCCAAATCCCGTTCGCCCTAAGGGTTGTTTCGCCCCAAAACCCGTTCGCCCCAGGTTGTTTTGCCCTAAAAAATATATTTTTCATTAAGTCATTAATATCATGTTAAAAGTTAAAAAAAGCTTATCTTTCTCTTGAGTACAGATATAAATATACGTATAATTACGTGCCGGAAGATAAAGAACGAACCTGTATATTCATCACCCGACAACGGACATACTAATATCCGGAATATACTGCACATTTACCAGTAATGTTGTTCTTTATAAAATGCACCTGTACATGTTTTAACGTTATGGATATATAATGAAACTAAATTAATTTCTCTAAGTTAACATATAGATACGTATAATATATAGATAAGATATGGACATATAAAGAAACTAAAATAATTAATATGCATATTAATTTTTATTGGTCGGTACTATCAAAACTTCTCAAAATGATCTCCTCCAATTAGCAAAACACAAACACATATTTTTTTAATAAAACTGATTTTAATGATATGAAAGACTAAGCAGACTTAATTTGTGACTTAAAACAAATAAAAATGAAAAGAAAATACCAAACAATGTTTCGCCCTAAAAAAATTGTTTGAGGGCGAAACAACCTAGGGCGAACGGAATTTGGGGCGAAACAACCCGGAACCGTCTCAATAATCGGATAGAAGGGCCACTGGTATTTGAGCAGTCATGGGAAAAGATTCTCAATAAAAGTAATGTTGCAAATATTCGCATATATTGAGTCTCCTTGCCTGACGAATGTTCCAGACTAAATGGAACTTTAAAATACTCTTCCCCAGCCATCCTCGTAATCCAGGGGTTACGCTCACATTCGCTATCTTCACCCCTGTGCCATGACATATTCCAGGGGTGTAGAGAGCGAAAGTGGGCGTAACCCCTGGATATCGAGGATGTTCCCCAGCATGCTAATGGTGAAATAAAATCACCCTGGGCCTCCTGGTAATGCAGAAGAAGTTGTTAAAAGGTTTCTACATACATTCCTTTGACCTTGAGAGCAGGTCAGTCATTTATTTGGGGAAAATTTATAGGACTCCATGCCAGGTACCTACTATAGCTAAGTATCATTGCCCTGAGCCTCCTATCTGTTAATCAGATCAAGTTGTTTGAAGTTTTTTTTTATATTTGTAAAGGTCAATTATTTTGGAAAAGTTTATAGCACTCCATCCAAGATACGTACTGGCCAAGTATCATCACCTTATGCATCTTAGTTATTTAGAAGAAGTACTAGTCACTCTAAAATTTTAATATATTTGACCTCTGTGACTTTGAAAGCGAGCCAGGGTAATTTATATGAGGAAACTTTATAGCACTCTGTTCCAGATACCTACTGGCCAGACATCGTAGCTCTAGGCCTCTTGGTTATTCAGAAGAAATTGTTTAAAGGTTTTTAAAGGTTTTTAACACAAATAACCCTTGTGATCTTGAAAGTAGGTCAAGGTCATTTATTTGAGGAAAGTAAATAGCAGTTCATGCCAGGTACCTGCTAGCCAAGTATCATCACTCTGGGCCTTTTAATTATTCAGAAAGTTTTTGAACGTTTTTACAAATTTGACCCCTGTAACTTTAAAAGTTGATTATTCAGAAGAATTTGTTTAAAGGTTTTAAACACATTTGACCCTTGTGATCTTGAAAGTAGGTCAAGGTCATTTATATGAGAAACATTTATAGCACTTCTTCCCAGGTAACTACTGGCCAAATGCCATGTCCCTAGGTCTTCCAGCTCTTTGGAAGAAGTTGTTCAAAAAAGAACAAGAGGCCCAGAGGGCCTGTATCACTCACCTGGGTAATAAAGCAACCATGGGGAATTCTCCTTATTACATAAAATCCCTCCAATGGTACAGAAGAAGGACTTTAAAGGGCCCTGCAACTCTGCACCCATCGGGGCCATACCCTCTGTTTATACAAAATCTAGTCCACGTTGCCCAAGGATGCTCCAGGCCAAAGGATAAAATCCCTCCAATGGTACAGCGGAAGAAGGATTTTGAAGACTTAAACCATAAATTCTCATCTTGGCCCCCACCCCTCTGCCCCCAGGGTGGCCACACCCACCATTTATACAAAAGTGAGTGCCCTTTGCGTAAGGATGATCCAGACCGAATTCATTCAAAATCTACTGGGGCTTTCAGAACTAGTTAGTGTTCTAAAGAAAAAGTTGACGGACGGACAGACGCAGCACCATGACATAAAAGCTTACCGGTCCTTCAGACCAGATGACCTAAAAAGTTGAAGAATGACTTCATGCCAGGTGAGCCAAAAATGTAAAACTGCTGCTCAATCCATAAAGTTATATGTGCATCATCAGATATAGATTTAATATGAAAAGGCAAAGCCTTAAAAGAGCGTAGCTTTTGTTGATCTCTGATATTTACTGATTGAGAATACAACTTTCAGAATGAGATAAGATAAACTTTATTTAAAGTCGGCTAGTCGAGGAATAACAATAAAACACAAGCTCTAATGAGATTAAGACCGACATAACAATAGGGAGATCAGGGCAAGTTCGGCTCTTTAAAACAAAATTAAGTCCTTTCTAGGAAGTATGGCAGCACGTCCGTTTTTGAACATTATTTAACTATCCTGTAAGAAGATTGGATGGCTGTAAGTTCGGCCCCCATTGGAATCAGCTTATGACTTCATAAAGCATGCAGTGTCAGATTTTACCGCCAATTTTGCAAATTTTTATGTGTTACACAGGCCGAACTTGCCACGGTATCATTGGCCGAAACTGTCCGGGCCCAAATTGATATTTCAATAAATTCTTATCGTACAGCAATATGGTAGAGAGTGATTGGCTTGGCTTTTTTGTATTTTCATTTGAAGCTGTCAGTGACTTACACGTTTGACTGTAAGAAAGTAGCAATTCCGTTTCAAAAAGTTCGCATAACAAGAAGCGAGATCATGATTTTCTTTCTACCCTCTCAAAAGAGTGAAGGGTGAAGGAGAACCAATTTTGTATAAACCGTGGGTCTGGCCCCCCAGGGGCCTGAGGGGCGGGGCACAATAGGAGAAACATAGCAAATTCTTTAAAATCCTTCTCATTCTGTAGGAATGAAAGGATTTAATCCATATTTGGTCTGAAGCATTCTTGGGTGAATTTTGTGTAAGCAGTGGGTGTGGTCTCCCAGGGGGCAGAAGGGCGAGGCCAAATAGGAGAAATAGAGGTAAAATCTTTAAAATCCTTCTTCGACCATCAGGATTAAGGGATTTTATCCTTATTTAGTCTGGAGCATCCTTGGGCCAAGGGGACTTAATTTTGTATAAATAGTGGGTAGACCCCCCTAGGGGCATAAGGGTGGGGCTCTGTTTGAAGTTTGTTCTCGCTACATTTGTATATCTCAAGTACTGGATGGATCTTTCTGAAATTTCATATGTACTTACAGCACCTACCATTGAGTGCTATATCTTTACTTTATACCAATTATTTTAAACACATTCAGGTGAGCGATACAGGCCCTCTGGGCCTCTTGTTTTGCATATATGACAGAACTATCGAGGGTAAGAAAAATTTGTGATAAATATCTTACACCCAAATTCATGAGCATGACATCACAATGGGACAACAATGACGTGATGTCACAGAATCGGGAAACTCTGTTGCTGAGATGCAGAAATTGTGAATCCTTAATTTTTAATGATTGAAATGAGAGAAAAAGATTCTTTCATGCCAAGGATGGGATACTACCGGTATAAAGGGAAATTCCACTCTCGGGATTCAGCCAGCAAGCCTTGGGTTTTTGGGTGGAATTTCCCCATCCTACACTCCTGCGCATGAAAGAGTCTAATAATCAAATGCATGTAAATATATTTCTACATTTGATGGCAGAAAGCCTTAAATATGAATGGTTATATACTAACCAATTATGACAGTATATATCTAAGACTGAAAGCACATGTATATTAGCTCAATACTTCATTAAGATATTGCTACTTTCTAGTTATTGTAGATCACAATGATTTCTGTAGACACCTCTTTTTACAATTATGATTCAAACCAATTATGCACCAGAATTTCAATTCACATAATTACCATAAAATATTCATATTTCTTGTTACTATACATCTAAATACTCATCATCCATGATCTTATCTCAGAAATTTATGCAAAGATTTTTGTGTCATAAAAATGTATTAATATGATCAATCATACATGTACAGAAAACTAAACAAATTGATATAAATAACATTTTTATTTCAACAATTAACAAAAAATTGACGAAGAAAAATTATCTACACAATTTGCTACCATATCCTTTTCTTCACAATGTATAATACTGTGGCAAAAAAGAACACGACAGCCAGAAATATGAGCAGTCTGTCAGTTAGTTGTCGCCGTCCATATTTTGTGATGAGTTTGCGGGAGCTGACCAAATGTCCGCCCATACCCTTCATCTCCTCGTGTGTGCCCTGTAGTGTGGACGATGACTGGACTGAAATACAAGATACATCTCTGAGCTAGTGAGTCGATGTAACTGATGTGATTGTGAAGCTAGGATATTGCTCAAATTCTACAATAAACTAATCCTCGAAATTCCACGGGTTACAGCTCACACTTACAAAATGTATGTTTGGCACCCCTGGAATATGTCCGGACTAAATCGAAGGCATGCGGTTAGCTATTCGATTAGTTTCAGGTGAAAAAGTTGACCAATTGCTTTTCTGATAATGACCTTTGAGATAACAGCATGAGGACGGATACCCAACTTCAATTTTTATTTTTTTTATTTTTTATTTACTTGTTTGACATGCATGGCTATCAGATAAAACCTGAAATTTTCTGGCATCTATCAAGGTTTATAATCCAAGACTTGTTGATATAAAAGGATGGATTTATCCAGTGCAGGCTGAGGGAAATTTGACAAATTACTAACATTATTTATTAAGTTTAGTAGGTTAAGTCAATTCATTAATAATTATGGTGATTAGAGTTAGTCAACTAAAAAGAAACAATACTGGCTAAGAGTAATTTGACTACTTACAATACAGATGTTCGAGGTAAAGTCAATTAAAAACTAATAATGGTGGTTGAGTTAGTCAGCTAATTAGGAACAATACTGTTTAGGGATAATGGTAAGTCAACTATCACAAACACTAACAATACTGGCAAGGGTTAATGGTGAGGCAACTATAAATTACCAACAAATTACAGATAACGGGTAAGTCAACTACTGGTATTTACAAACTATACTAGCAAGGGGAAAGTCTATTACCGGTATTTACAAACTATACTAGCAAGGGGTAAGTCTATTACCGTTATTTACAAACTATACAAGCAAGGGGTAAGTCTATTACCGGTATTTACAAACTATACTAGCAAGGGGTAAGTCTATTACCAGTATTTACAAACTATACAAGCAAGGGGTAAGTCAATTACCGGTATTTACAAACTATACAAGCAAGGGGTAAGTCTATTACCGGTATTTACAAACTATACAAGCAAGGGCTACGTCAATTACCGTTATTTACAAACTATACTAGCAAGGGGTAAGTCAATTACTGGTATTTACAAACTATACAAGCAAGGGGTAAGTCAGTTACCGGTATTTACAAACTATACAAGCAAGGGGTAAGTCTATTACCGGTACTTACAAACTATACAAGCAAGGGGAAAGTCTATTACCGGTATTTACAAACTATACAAGCAGAGGGTAAGTCTATTACCGGTATTTACAAACTATACAAGCTAGGGGTAAGTCTATTACCAGTATTTACAAACTATACAAGCAAGGGGTAAGTCAATTACTGGTATTTACAAACTATACAAGCAAGGGGTAAGTCAGTTACCGGTATTTACAAACTATACAAGCAAGGGGTAAGTCAATTACCGGTATTAACAAACTATACTAGCAAGGGGTAAGTCTATTACCAGTATTTACAAACTATACAAGCAAGGGGTAAGTCTATTACCGTTATTTACAAACTATACTAGCAAGGGGTAAGTCAATTACAGGTATTAACAAACTATACAAGCAAGGGGTAAGTCTATTACCGGTATTTACAAACTATACAAGCAATGGGTAAGTCTATTACCGGTATTTACAAACTAACAAGCAAGGGGTAAGTCTATTACCGGTATTTACAAACTATACAAGCAGAGGGTAAGTCTATTACCGGTATTTACAAACTATACTAGCAAGGGGTAAGTCTATTACTGGTATTTACAAACTATACAAGCAAGGGGCAAGTCAATTACTGGTATTTACAAACTATACAAGCAAGGGGTAAGTCAATTACCGGTATTTACAAACTATACAATCAAGAGGTAAGTCAATTACCGGTATTAACAAACTATACTAGCAAGGGGTAAGTCTATTACTGGTATTTACAAACTATACAAGCAAGGGGCAAGTCAATTACTGGTATTTACAAACTATACAAGCAAGGGGTAAGTTTATTACCAGTATTTACAAACTATACAAGCAAGGGGTAAGTCAATTACCGGTATTTACAAACTATACAAGCAAGAGGTAAGTCAATTACCTGTATTAACAAACTATACAAGCAAGGGGTAAGTCAATTACCGGTATTTACAAACTATACAAGCAAGAGGTAAGTCAATTACCTGTATTAACAAACTATACAAGCAAGGGGTAAGTCAATTACCGGTATTTACAAACTATACAAGCAAGGGGTAAGTTTATTACCAGTATTTACAAACTATACAAGCAAGGGGTAAGTCAATTACCGGTATTTACAAACTATACAAGCAAGGGGTAAGTTTATTACCAGTATTTACAAACTATACAAGCAAGGGGTAAGTCAATTACTGGGATTTACAAACTATACTAGCAAGGGTTAAGTCAATTACCGGTATTTACAAACTATCCAAGCAAGAGGTAAGTCAATTACCGGTATTAACAAACTATACAAGCAAGGGGTAAGTCAATTACTGGTAATTACAAACTATACAAGCAAGGGGTAAGTCTATTGCCGGTATTTACAAACTATACTAGCAAGGGGTAAGTCAATTACCGGTATTTACAAACTATACAAGCAAGGGGTAAGTCAATTACTGGGATTTACAAACTATACTAGCAAGGGTTAAGTCAATTACCGGTATTTACAAACTATACAAGCAAGGGGTAAGTTTATTACCAGTATTTACAAACTATACAAGCAAGGGGTAAGTCTATTGCCGGTATTTACAAACTATACTAGCAAGGGGTAAGTCTATTACTGGTATTTACAAACTATACAAGCAAGGGGTAAGACAATTACTGGTATTTACAAACTATACTAGCAAGGGTTAAGTCAATTACCGGTATTTACAAACTATCCAAGCAAGAGGTAAGTCAATTACCGGTATTAACAAACTATACTAGCAAGGGGTAAGTCTATTACTGGTATTTACAAACTATACAAGCAAGGGGTAAGTCTATTACCATTATTTACAAACTATACTAGCAAGGGGTAAGTCAATTACTGGTATTTACAAACTATACAAGCAAGGGGTAAGACAATTACTGGTATTTACAAACTATACTAGCAAGGGTTAAGTCAATTACCGGTATTTACAAACTATCCAAGCAAGAGGTAAGTCAATTACCGGTATTAACAAACTATACTAGCAAGGGGTAAGTCTATTACTGGTATTTACAAACTATACAAGCAAGGGGCAAGTCAATTACTGGTATTTACAAACTATACTAGCAAGGGTTAAGTCAATTACCGGTATTTACAAACTATACAATCAAGAGGTAAGTCAATTACCGGTATTAACAAACTATACTAGCAAGGGGTAAGTCTATTACTGGTATTTACAAACTATACAAGCAAGGGGCAAGTCAATTACTGGTATTTACAAACTATACTAGCAAGGGTTAAGTCAATTACCGGTATTTACAAACTATACAAGCAAGGGCTACGTCAATTACCGTTATTTACAAACTATACTAGCAAGGGGTAAGTCTATTACTGGTATTTACAAACTATACAAGCAAGGGGCAAGTCAATTACTGGTATTTACAAACTATACAAGCAAGGGGTAAGTCAATTACCGGTATTTACAAACTATACAAGCAAGGGGTAAGTCAATTACTGGTATTTACAAACTATACTAGCAAGGGTTAAGTCAATTACCGGTATTTACAAACTATACAAGCAAGAGGTAAGTCAATTACCGGTATTAACAAACTATACAAGCAAGGGGTAAGTCTATTACCGTTTTTAACAAACTATACTAGCAGGGGGTAAGTCAACTGTAGTATAATCTGCTCATGTGACCATCTGTATCAAATGACCATCTGTTTTAAGTGACCATTTTTCATTTCTCCTGAATGTTTTTATTGTGTAATTAACTTTAAATTAATAACAATATAGTTGAGGAGTAAGTTGACTAATTAATAAGAATAGAATGAGTGTTAAAATAGTTTTTTTTTTTTTCTATGAGTATAAGAAACTAATTGATCAGGCCCGAGTATAAAGATACTATACTGACTTGTCAGAAGAATGAGATTGAATTTACTGGCTTAAGAGACTATAATCACTCAGACAAACTATGCTGTACTAAGCTGATTTACACTTACTCAGTGTGGACTTGGTGAGTTCACTCTTGTGGACCTGAGCAGCCATTGTCCTGTTTAAGCTCATCAGACTCTCGTTGATATCACTGCCTCGCTTGGCCAATATCTCCTTGGAATTCACAGTCCTTTAAAAAATTCAAAAATATTTGATCACATGATTACCAGTTCAGAGAATACACCTCTTGTCATAGTTTTACGTATGAACTCATGTCATATGGGTAACATTGATGTCATCAACAAAGTGATGTTAATAGACTTCCAGATTATATACTGATGTCACCCAGGGTACAGTAGATATAGAGCCACAATGGTGACATCTGAGGCTTCAAGAATGACCTAAAAAATGGGGGATTTTCTTTGAAAATATTTGCAAGAATTCTTGATTTGTTTTATAATTTCTAAATAGAAAGGAGCTTAAATTCAATTCAATCTCATATGGTATTAATGAAACTTGTCATCAATAATTAATTCTTGTTCACCAGAGGCTCTCTAAAATGAACAGTTATTAGACTGCTAACTCACTTCATGATTTGTATATGAAATGAAAACTCATGTAGAATCCAATATTATATATGTTTGTAAAAGAGTATTCACTTGTAATTTTACATCCCCTTCGAAACAAGCACGGTAAAAAAAAAAATACATAGATACAATGATTAGATACTTGATGCAGTACGTAGTACCTTATTATCCAATATTACTACAACAGTGTTGCTCACCCAACCTTGGTGTTGACAGTGTGTGCAGTTTTCTATGTATAACACTGTCGGCCATGGTGATACCTACTGACTTTTGACTATGGTACCCCCTCCTGAAGACCTTATCCAATATTACTACTGTTCACTTCTAATTTTACATCCCCTTCGAAACAACAGTGTTGCTCACCCAACCTTGGTGTTGACTTTGTGTACAGTTTTCTATGTGTAACACTATTGGTGGCCATGGTGATAACTGTACCTTCTTGTCTTGACTATGGCATCATTTCCTGAAGACCTTATCTCAACCACCTATCAATAATTTTATTACCATTTATACCCTTTTCTAGTATATTAACAGTTCTTTAATACTGTACCTTCTATTTCTGGAATGTACCAATTGTTTCTTAATGGAGCCGAACATATTCTGGCAGTAGATAATGTTTTTTACTGTACCTATCGTTTCCTGACTATACTTACCTACCTGTACTAACAATTTTCCTAACTGTACTTACCGTTTCCTGACTGTACTAATCGTTACCTGACTATACTAACCGTTTCCTACCTGTACTAACAATTTTCCTAACTGTACTAACCATTTCCTGACTGTACTAACCGTTTCCTACCTGTACTAACAATTTTCCTACCTGTACTAATCGTTACCTGACTATACTAACCGTTTCCTACCTGTACTAACAATTTTCCTAACTGCACTATCCGTATCCTGACTGTACTAACTGTTTCCTGACTGTTCTAACCGGGTACCTGACTATACTTACCGTTTCCTAACTGTACTAACTGTTACCTGACTGTACTAACCGTTTCCTGACTGTACTAACTGTTTCCTGACTGTTCTAACCATTTCCTGGCTGTACTAACCATTTCCTACCTGTACTAACTGTTACCTGACTGTACTAACCGTTTCCTGACTATACTAACCGTTTCCTGACTATACTAACCATTTCCCGATTGTACTAACTGTTACCTGACTGTACTAACCATTTCCTGACTATACTAACCGTTTCCTGACTGTACTAACTGTTACCTGACTGTACTAACCATTTCCTGAATATACTAACTGTTTCCAGACTGTACTAACCATTTCCTGACTATACTAACCATTTCTTGACTGTACCTACTGTTTCCTGACTATACTAACAATTTCCTGACTATACTTACCGTTTCCTGACTGTACTAACCATTTCCTGACTATACTAACTGTTTCCTGACTGTACTAACCATTTCCTGACTATACTAACTGTTTCCTGACTGTACTAACCATTTCCTGACTATACTAACTGTTAATAACCATTTCCTAACTGTACTAACCGTTACCTGACTATACTAACTGTTTCCTGACTGTACTAACTGTTTCCTGACTGTACTAACTGTTAATAACCATTTCCTAACTGTATTAACCATTTCCTGACTGTACTAACTGTTTCCTAACTGTACTAACCGTTTCCTGACTGTACTAACTGTTTCCTAACTGTACTAACCGTTTCCTGGCTGTACTAACCATTTCCTACCTGTACTAACTGTTACCTGACTGTACTAACCGTTTCCTGACTATACTAACCGTTTCCTGACTATACTAACCATTTCCCGATTGTACTAACTGTTACCTGACTGTACTAACCATTTCCTGACTATACTAACCGTTTCCTGACTGTACTAACTGTTACCTGACTGTACTAACCATTTCCTGAATATATTAACTGTTTCCAGACTGTACTAACCATTTCCTGACTATACTAACCATTTCTTGACTGTACCTACTGTTTCCTGACTATACTAACAATTTCCTGATAATACTTACCGTTTCTTGACTGTACTAACCATTTCCTGACTATACTAACTGTTTCCTGACTGTACTAACCATTTCCTGACTATACTAACTGTTTCCTGACTGTACTAACCATTTCCTGACTATACTAACTGTTAATAACCATTTCCTAACTGTACTAACCGTTACCTGACTATACTAACTGTTTCCTGACTGTACTAACTGTTTCCTGACTGTACTAACTGTTAATAACCATTTCCTAACTGTATTAACTGTTTCCTGACTGTACTAACTGTTTCCTAACTGTACTAACCGTTTCCTGACTGTACTAACCATTTCCTACCTGTACTAACTGTTACCTGACTGTACTAACCATTTCCTGACTATACTAATTGTTTCCTGACTGTACTAACTGTTAATAACCATTTCCTAACTGTACTAACTGTTTCCTAACTGTACTAACCGTTACCTGACTATACTAACTGTTTCCTGACTGTACTAACTGTTTCCTGACTGTACTAACTGTTAATAACCATTTCCTTACTGTATTAACCGTTTCCTGACTGTACTAACTGTTTCCTAACTGTACTAACCGTTTCCTGACTGTACTAACCGTTTCCTAACTGTATTAACCGTTTCCTAACTGTACTAACCATTTCCTAACTGTACTAACTGTTTCCTGATTTTACCTGGGTTTTTTATGGTACCCACCGTTTTCTGGCTGTGGTTCCTCCTGTCAATAACATTTCTTTTTCATTTTTGTCTATTCTCAACTGTACAGACACGTTTGTCTTTCTAAGGCTTCCCACAGTACTGCAATGAAAAAACAGGTGTATATGGCTTTTATTTGAAACTTAATATAATGCAAATATGTAATGATCTGAACTTATTGATAAGCTTAAGTACTCATCTATGTAAAAGCTAAAAGCTGTAACAGGGGCATCAATTTTTTTTAATACCTGTAAATAAATGTGTTGCCTTATAGGTAATCCAATGAACCACATACGGTAAATAGCATGACACAGGATTTTTTTTCAACTAAAAACTTATGTCAGCTTTCCAACAGCTATTAGCTGGTCTCTCAAAAGCTACATTCAAATTATTTTTGTTTTAGGGATCCCAAAACTATCGTGTTAATTTGATTAGAATGGAAATAATGGAAAGGTAAACATAACCCTTTTTATCTTTCCAATAGTAAAATACCTGTTGACTATACAACATTAATATTATTATTTTATACCATTATAACAATATCTACCTGGCAAGTCTTTGCTTCTGATTCTCAACATCCTTTTGAATTATTTGTCTGTCTTCTTCTTTGTCTTGTTCAAAGCCTAGAGTCTCTAACTCCTGGAGAAAAGATACATTAATTATCAACACTACATGTTTACAATTCTGTGTTTTGAAGTGCCACACTGGCGTGTTTGTAAAGAGTGAAAGAAAATGCCAAATAAGGCTTGGATCCTTCATTATTATTCAGAAAAGCACAGTAATGAAATTTTCAGGTATTGTGAGGCAATTTATAAAAGGAAACAAAAAGGAACTTAGGAGAAATATAAAATTTATTACAAAACATGGGAACAGCTAAACAGGAGCATTTTATTATGGACACTTATTAGACAAGTTTTTAGTTACAATCTTAATTCTGGTGTTGGTGGTTACTTCAAATTGCAATCAATGCAATCAACACTAGTAACTCTATATACCTCAATGAAAATAATATGTATATATATATTTAAATGAATTTCATTTCATTTTGAACACTAAAACCAAAATTATATGACCTCAATCTTTTTCCTGAGCTTGTTAACTTTTCCTCTGGCCTCAACATTGATGTCTTCCAGCACCTCTTTGGTATCGGCACACTCCCTAATGTCCTGTAAGACAGACACAATAAACAGGTCTCACAAACCAAACATTGATTTCAAAATAAACCAATTGGCAAAATAGTTATGCACAATAAAACCTTGTTATACTGCCACCATTTGTCAAATGACTTAGGTATGTGACATCACATATTGTCATGGTTACAACTTGTGTGTTACATCAAATGTTGTCATGGTCATTAGGTGTTTCAACACATGTTGTCATGGTTACAACTTTTGTGTTACATCAAATGTTGTCATGGTCATAAGCTGTTTCATCACATGTTGTCATGGGAATAGGGTGTTACATCACATTTTGTCATGGTAACAGGGTATGCCATATTACATGCTGTTGTCCTACAACACATTAATGTCATGAACAAGTTATAAATTCACTTTAACGCTGGGGAAACTTGTAAGCCTTTGAATTGTACTTGATTAAATGTTGTCTAATTCTGGGACAAAGCCTTAACACAGGTGGGGGATGGATGTCACATGGATATTGCTAGTATTGCAGATATGTTACACTTAATGTTCAGACTTCACTCTTTATGTGCATATAAACTTCCTATTAAAACAACCTAAGAGGAGAGAGAGAGTGTGGTGTGCTTACAACAGGGATTAATCTCTGACTAAATCCATGTAGTTTCCACAAGTCTACTGATAGAGTAAAAGGGAAATTCCCTCTAGCGCTTAGCTAGAAGGTGACCATAATCCTATGCATAATTAAAACCTCCTACACTATTTCCCCCTTTTTTAAATGTGTTCACCTTCGAACACCACAACAACATAGTTCTTACTCTCTGTCACAACAGGGAGGGCCACATCCCAACACCATTTGTAACAGGAACGAGTATGTTAAGTATGCCTTCACTGGGATAAAATCAGTGACCCTCCGCTTACCATTCAGCTGCTCTACTGGCAGGGCTAAATGGAAATTCCCTCTAGTTAGAAGCTGGCCATAATCTTATGTCAATTTAAATTTAAATCTATTGAATTTATACAAATTATCAAAGACTTTAGGAATTTTTCATCTACTCAAATAACAAAAGAAATGACTGAATAAGAAAAATCCAGATTAGATCAATGTCAAGTCATTCAAGCTATCGTCATGGAACTGCATGGGCTGGGCCACAAGGTATAGATAGCTCAATTAGTAGAGTGTCTGTCTAGATTTTGGAGGGACCTGAGTTTAAGTTCCAGTCTGGCTGTTCATTTTTCTTCTCCTGTTACATTTGGTGCCCCTCAATTTTTTTTTTATATATATACCCACAGGAGGTGGTACAAGATCTGGTGTGTCTATAGGGAAGAATTTTTCAAAGAAGGGCGGAATGTAGTGGAACTGGACTGGGCGATCTCATGCGACCAGTTAGCTAAATTGGTAGAGCGTCAGCCTAGAGTTTGGAGGGTCCCTGGTTTGAGTCCCAGTTCGCTATAATAGTGTAACAGGAAAGAGAATAGTGTGCTTCCACCGGGCATCAAACCCTCGATCTCCAGGTTCCTAGTCGGACGCTCCACCACTGAGCTAAAGGGAAATTCCCTCTAGCTCAAAGCTAGAAGGCGATCTTCATCCTATTGCAATTAAAACCTGCCACACTACTCTCCCCTTTTTAAATGTGTTCGCCCTCGAACACCACAACCCAGGTTCTAACGTTACCTCCCTGTCACTACAGAGAGGGCCACGGACACCATTTGTAACAGGAAAGACCGGGGATTGAACCCTCAATCTCCAGGTTCCTTGTCGGACGCTCTACCACTGAGCTAAAGGGAAATTCCCTCTAGCTCGAAGCTAGAAGTCAACCTTAATCCTATGTACAATTAAAACCAGCTAGCTGCAGCCACAATAGCATGAAATGTAATTGATATTGCATTTAAAAGCTTGTTTGATTAAGCCACAGGAATCTCCATCTGGTATGTTAATATGTGAAAACATGAAATAATTTTCCTTACCCTATATTTCTACTATCTGCAATTGTTTTAGATGAATTTGGGCCTAATATAAATAAAGCCCTGCTTTCTTACATTTTTTCTTCTGTATTTTCCTAAAATCACTACAAAAAGAACTTTATATTCCCAAAATCATGCTTTATGTGTCCGATTTCAAGGCATAGACCCCTGTCGAAAAGTAGAAAAACCACTGCATATTTTCACATTATCATACCATGCCAGATGCAATATTCCTGCCATTCAGTTGTTTATGATTTTCCCAATGTAGTCCGTGCATGCCAATGTTGTATCAACTTAAATTACCTGGATGAGTGCTTTTATTTGAAGATCTAACCGAACAATTTCTTGTAAACACAGTCGCACATGGATATCCTCTGCAGCCATGTCTTTTTTGCCACATCAAAATGAAAATGAAACCGGAAGTGAAGTTCCGGAACTGGAATTCACGACCATGTTTAGCATTAGACACCGATATTGTTTTTCCGGTGAAGAAAAAGATACCGATGGATTCATCCCTAAACTCAGTAAATATCTCAACTCACACATACCAATGTTACTATTGTCTAATACCATGTCTTTCATGGTAGTATGTCGAAACAGTACGTTCAGCGGATATTTGATTATAATGTAATCTACATGTTGCATCATTGACTGACAGTGACAGCTGTCAGTGTCAAGTATCGATACACGATACAGTACGGCCCTGAAAACACCCCGAAAAATACAAAGACTTGTACTTCAAAATGATTTAGACTTACACCCGCGGAACGATTAGTGTGTATGTTTTTTCAGCTGTCATGTAGAAAGAATCATAAGCAATTTTGATTTATAGTTAGTGATGGTTTTTGTCAGAAGTAAATGACTGTCACATTTTATTGATATATTTTAAAGAAAAACAACAACAAAAGGGATATGCCTAGTCAGTTATTTTGGACTATGATGGAGATGTTTGCGATACGTTTGATAATATTTTTTAACACATCAACTTGTTTGACATACTTACATGCTGTAGTGGACAATTACAGTCAAATAATATATTGTATTTAATTTGAATATTTATCAGTGGTAGATCTACCAGAGCGTCCTAGGAAGTCTGGGATCGCATGTTCGATCCCGATTTAAGCACACTACTCTCTTTACTGTTACAGTAGGTTAAGATAAACTCGGTCATTGAATGAGAATGTGGAAATTTACTGTTATGAAGAATTCCATTGACATTAATTTTGTAAAAAAAAACACCATTCTATTCTCAACTTATGTTGTTCATCAAATGGAGTATCAAGTTAGTAATCTATACAAAAATAACAATCAAACTCGTACACCATATGAATTTCTCAGCTTTCTGCTGCTGTTGATTTAGAAAAGATTAGTTAAGTACTTCGGGTGAACAATGGTTGCGAATATTGTATTTATTTGGTCACTCAATATTTCTGATTGTTACAACAAATACAGTCTTGTATTTGGTATGAAAAAGCATTCAATACAAGAATGACTCATAAATCAAAATTACCTACCTTAATTCTTTTTCAACACTACAGTTCTGCTGTATGTGAAAATTACTAGGCTTTCTATAGAGTAATCTTCAATTTAAAAACACAAGTATTTAAGGAGAAAAGAAGTCAATAAGACGTCCAGGATGGTATTTCTTCATCTGAATTTTTTTTCATTGTTTGTAAATATCTTTTTTAGATTAAACATGTCAGAGTTGAGATTATTTTACCTTGGCTTGAGGAGATTTGTTTGAGTTCCCGTGCATCGTCTGAAGTCAGAGGATGTACCCACTTGTATGAATTAAAGTTAACTCATTTACCCCTACACATCTAAAGTGGACTTTTCAAGTCATTGATTTGGTAAGGTTCAAAAGTGATGTTAGGGGTGAATGAGTTTAATTATCAGTTTCTGTTTTTCTAACAGCTGAATTTACATATGATGAAATTTAGACTTATATAATGTTGCTTTCACATCTGCATTTTCCGATCATTTTCTCATTGATTTTCCATGACAATAGGCACACCAACAAGGAAGGAAAGCAGACATGTTGCTGAAGTCAAGGAAACCAGAGGAGGCCATCTTTTGTCATAGGAGAGCTGCAGGTATCCAACACTGATGTTGTCTAGTACTAGTGTTATTCATCCCTAGCATTAATTTCATCTCACCTGGTCTGCAGGACCATGGTGAGCATATGCCATACCGCAGCGTCTGTCGCCCGTCCTCCGTCAACTTTTTCTTTCAAACGCTACTAGTCCTGAACGGACAAGTATATTTTGACTATATTTGGTCTGGAGCATAGGATCCTTAGGCCAAGAAGACTCAATTTTGTATAAACGGTGGATGTGGCCCCCTTGGGGGTAGTGGGGCAGGGCCGAATAGGGGAAATTGAGGTAAAACCTTTGAAATCCTTCTTCTACCATAGGAATTAAGGTATTCTATCTCAAGCTAGTCTGGAGCATCCTTTGGCCAAGGGGACACAATTTTGTATCAATGGTGGGTGTGTCCCCCCTGGGGAAAGAGGGGCGGGGCCAAACAATGAAAATAGAGGTAAACCTTTAAAATCCTTCTTCTTCCGTAATGATTAAGGGATTTCATTCTAATTTAGTCTCAAGCATATTTAGGCCAAGGGGACTCAATTTTGTATAAACAGTGGGTGGGGGCCCCCTGGGGCCGAAGGAGCAGGGCCAAATACGGGAAATAGGGGTAAAACCTTTATAATCCTTCTTCTACCATAGGGATTAAGGGATTCTATCCTAAATTAGTCTGGAGCATCCTTTGGCAAAGGACACACAATTTTGTATAAACAGTGGGTCTGGCACCCTAGGGGCCTGAGGGGCGGGGCCCAATAAGGGAAACATAGCTAAGTATTCTTTAAAATCCTTCTTCTTTTGTAGGAATGAAAGAATTTGGTCCATATTTGGTGTGCAGCATCCTTGGGTAAAGAGGACCAATTTTGTATAAAGGGTGGGTCTGGCCCCCTGGGTCCTGAGGGGTGGGGCCCAATAGGGGAAATAGAGGTAAAAACCTTTATAATCCTTCTTCTACCATAGGGATTAAGGGATATTATCCTAATTTAGATTGGGGCATCCTTTGGCAAAGGACACACAATTTTGTATTAACGGTGGGTCTGGCACCCTAGGGGCCTGAGGGGCGGGGCCCAATAAGGGAAACATAGCTAATTATTCTTTAAAATCCTTCTTCTTTTGTAGGAATGAAAGAATTTGGTCCATATTTGGTGTGCAGCATCCTTGGGTAAAGAGGACCAATTTTGTATAAAGGGTGGGTCTGGCCCCCTGGGTCCTGAGGGGTGGGGCCCAATAGGGGAAATAGAGGTAAACACCTTTATAATCCTTCTTCTACCATAGGGATTAAGGGATATTATCCTAATTTAGTCTGGGGCATCCTTGGGCAAAAGGGACTCAATTTCATATAAACAGCTAGTGTGGCCCCCCTGGGGGCAGAAGGGAGGGGCCCAATAGGGGAAACATAGCAAATTCTTCAAAATCCCTCTACTTCTGTAGGAATGACAGGATTTTGTCCAAATTTGGTATGAAGCACCCTTGGGTGAAGGGGAACCAATTTTGATTAAACGGTGTGTCTGACCCCCCTGGAGGCAGAGAGGCGGGGCCAATAGGGGAAATAGAGGTAAAACCTTTTAAATCCTTCTTCTACCCTAGGGATTTAGGGATTTTTTCCTAATTTAGTCTGGAGCATCCTTGGGTCAGCAGGACTCAATTTTGTATAATTGGTTGGTATGACCCCCCC